TGACTGACCATCATGCTCTGTGTTGGTTATCGTCTCTCAAAAATTTGTCGGGACGCCTTGGCCGTTGGGTACTACGATTGCAAAAGTATGACTACAGCGTCACATATAGGTCGGGTCGAGAGCACCAAGATGCCGACGCTTTGTCACGTTGCCCGCTCTCGCAAAGCGCCGAAGTGTCACCTTCCATCTGTTCGTCACCGCCCACCAAAGTGACCAAACAGACGGCTGCTGCTTCGAAACAGTTAGTTGCCTCGGCGGACCTTCTTTCGTCCACAGATCTCGCCTCGCTCCAACATGCCGATACCTACTGCCACACAATCATCGATAGGCTCACTGGCTTATCGCGTGCTCCAAACAGCCGCCTAAGACGACAACATGCCCGTTTCAAGCTTCAAGATGGAACATTATGTCGGCAAATTTACCATCCTCTCGGTAACCAATGGGTTACCGTCATTCCTCACTCACTTCATCTGGAAGTTCTACCAGCGTTTCAGGACGATGCGACAGCAGGCTACTTAGGGTTCCACAAGACCTACGACTGCCTCAAGACTCGCTGCTTTTGGCCTGGCCCCTCTACTTCTGTCGCCAAGTACATCGATTCCTGCGCGTCATGCCAGCACCGAAAACGTACCACGTCTCTTCCCGCGGGGCCATTGCAATCACTGCCATGCCCGTCCACTCCCTTTGAATTTGTGGGCATATACTTATACGGACCTCTTCCGCTTACGCCAGCCGGTCACCGTTGGATTGTTACTGCCGTAGACCACCTTACTCGCTACGTCGAGACGGCAGCTATTTCATCTGGTGCTACCTCTGAAGTAGCCGATTTTTTTCCTTCGCGCCATTAGTTTACGACATGGCGCACCGCGTGTGCTCCTTAGTGACCGTGGCAAGACATTTCTTTCACATGTCCTTGCTGAAGTCTTTCAGGCCTCTAACGCCATCCACAAGACCACATCAGCGTATCACCCAGAAACTAATGGTCTGACTGAGCGTTTTCACCGAACTTTGTCCGACATGATCTCTATGTACGTGCAACCGGATCTCAAAAACTGGGACACAATACTTCCTTTCGTCACGTTCGCATATAATACTGCCATACAGCGTACGACGAATTTCAGCCCTTTTGTTCTCGTGTATGGCCGTGTACCGACTTTTGTTATGGACACCACCTTTTTGTCCACATCTTCCAATCCATCTTCATCTCTCCCGGAAGAGTTCACCGCTCGCGTCGCCCGCTGCCGTAAAATCGCCCGAGCCAACACTGCTACCATTCAGGACATGAGAAAAATCGACATTGATGCGAAGCGTCGAGTTGTTGTGTTCCGCCCAGGCGACGAAATCCTTTTGTGGAAACCAGTTCATGTACCTGGGCTCTGTGAAAAATTCCTTCACCGATATCTCAGTCCATACACCGTCCTGGAACGAACATTTGAAGTCAACTATCGCGTTGCTCCTGTCAACGCGGCTCCTGATCGTCGTCGCCGCCACACTGAAATCGCCCACGTCTCTCGACTGAAACGATATATTCGGCGTCCCAACCCTTTCTAACTTGCTGCCCTCTTTCGCGAAGGGGGGAAAATAGTGTGATCGCTGACTATGTACTTCATCTTCACCTGTATGACCAAACCATTGTAGTGATCATCATCGTATGTCACGCGGGCTGTCTCTCTGGCTCGTGCGCCTGAATTAAAAAGATAACCTGGTTGCTGCCGTATCGAACATGGTCTCATAATATATATATATATATATATATATATATATATATATATATATATATATATATATATATATATATATATATATATATATATATAGAAAAGGAAAGAAAAGACGTGAGAGAACAAATATCCTGGCGAAAAAGAATTTGTCACAAGGTGGCGGGAAGAACTCAAACCCGAAAGTAAAAAGAAAGAGAGCGAGTGAGAAAGTGAGCGAAAAATAGAAATGAAAGCGAAATACAGATGGAAAGACAAATAAACGAAAATAAACAAAGACAAAGAAGACAGACATGGCTTGAAAATGAGAGAAAAAACAAGGAAACACCCAAAGAGAGAAAAGAAAAATAAAATGAAACAAAGAAGGCCGCCCAACTCCGAACTTCCTTTCGACTTGACACCCTATTGAGAAGCTGCGTTAATTTTTTAATTACTTATTTACTTTCGCGAAGGTGTCTGAACATTGTTTCACAGTCCCGGCCCTAACTCCGTCTGCTCTTGCTCCTTAAACTTTCATGTGATTTGTTTGTTGTGAGAAAGAAAGGCAAAATTAGACGCTGAGGTCAGCATTCCGATTATTCAGGCACATGAATGCCGCTGTAATGAGATATACGTTCATGGTTCTCTATTTTTGTAGTCTGTTTAGTACATGAGGAAGGCACGAGCATAGACCATTCGAAAGCCCCCAGAACGAAAATGAAATGCCCCACATCATGGTTGACTACTAATAAGGCACACACAAACAAAAGCTACTGCACCCCACTTCACTAGCAGTTTTCTTTTTTTTTTTCGTTCTTTTCATCCCTGAATCATTTTTCTCCGAAAATTTCTAGCAAAGTGGACGCCCATTCGGTAAGCTTCCGTGCTTTTTTCTCTTGCTTTCATACTTTTCCTCTTACTGCCAAATACGTACCAAATGGTTCGATAGAAGAATACTTTGGATTTCATATACAGACAATCTCACAAATTTATCGGCAAGATTATGTAGAATAACTTACCGTTTCTCAAAGATTGCTCCTGTATATTACTGTTTAACAGGCGCTAATATTACAGCAACACGTTGTGAAAACAGGTATACGCAGATTCCCGTGGGCTAATACTGCTGGACGTTTACAAGTGAGCAGTAGGAAACTGTTCAGCGCATTGACAGTAAAATAACATAAAGCTAATATCTTTATTCACCCAGCCAATTCATTATTGTTTCAATCATCGATTCATTCCAAGTCAACAAAAAAATTGAAGTTTGTTTTTCTTGTTCGCAGGTTTTTGCGCGGGAATAGGGAGGAGGTACAGTTAGAAGAACAATTCTTGTGATTGATTGAATAATTTATTGATTGATCGATTGGTTAGGGCACCTTTAAGAGCGTACATCAGCAAATAAATCTACCAGTAAAGCTGGTTAAAATGTTTAGCACACCTGCCAAAAAGTTACTTCAGTGGCCGGAGCCTAAGGAGATTTTTCGGGGGGTAGGGGAGAGGGGGGTACCTTTTTTGCCTGAAGTGGAGCCCGGGAAGGCAAATGATTGTTTTGAGCTCTGTATGCCATGCCAAACAAAAAAGTTTCGAGAGGGGGCAAGGATCCAGTGTGCCACTCCTTGGCTGCGCAACAATTAAGTGGCTTTTTTTTTTCTGAACATGGTAACAAAAATATGAGTGAACCTAATCAGCAAGCTATAAATCTTACGTGTGAAAAATTTTGAATTTCGTTTGATAGGTGTGACATTGAAGAGAACCTTCACTGTGCATCCTGCGGGTCTAAAACGCCAAAATTTGATTACGCACGCGCACAAAAACATACGCACACACTCACTCTGTCCAACCACACCCTGTCTGCCAGCAATTTTTTCCAGGCGTCTTTTCTATATCTTTCACTCTCTAAGTTGACCCTCGTCCCGATTTATCCCGCTTGCACCTTATCTTTGTTTCTCGAGAGATGCATTCGTCCACGCGATGCGAGGGAACAACAAGGGAAACGAAACCTAAAAACACACACACACACACAAAAAACACACACAGTTGCGAGGACGCGACCGTGGACGAATAAGGCGGCAAGAGATATCCCGCACGCTTCAACAGACCACCAGTGGTCTGCATAAGAACGTCATGGGCGCGGAAGCAGGGCAAGATGAAAGCATCCGTATTGACTTCCGCTTATGCCGGAGAATTGCCCTGCGGAAAGAATCTCAGCCTCGCTCCGGGCGAAACCGATAAGTCGGTAAAAGCCACGTACCATCGAGCCTCGTAGAGCGCAGCTGCGTCCTCTCGCGACCGTTACGCATCTCCTTCTCGGGCAAAGCATGCTGTTTCGCCCCAAGATGAATGACGCGGGATTACGAGGAAGAAATGGCACTGAATAAAAGACGCGAGGAGAAAGAATGTGTGTACGGTACAACAGGAGCGTGTGTTTAATGCGGAAAAGAAAATATACGTACTTTTCGAACGGACAGCCCATCAACCATTGGCCAGAGGTATTGTGCGGATTCAAAAAGGAGGCTTTAAAAATGAAATGTGACCGACGGCTACAATCGGCTGCGCTTTCTGAGGAATGCGAACATTGAAAAAAAAACGGTTCTGTTTTCACGCTGTTTGTGAACGACAGGTACGTGCCAAGCGGCCTGACGCGACGCTACTATACTCAAAAGTTGAAGAACACTGCACAGTGCCTGCGAAGAATGCTGCGTATCGATTCTTTTCACACTGCAAGCTGTTCAGTCAAGAGGACAGACTCCCTGAACTTTTTTACGTCCCTATTGTTTCCTATTCACGAGAACAATGAAAACGAACACTCGCCATGCGCATCTATCGTATATATAAGTATAGTTTCGATTGTACACTTAAAAACAACGATCTGATTATGAGAGACACCCGCCGTACGGGAGCCCTCCGGAAATTGCGATCACGTAAACATAAATTTCGGGCGCGGGCCTCAAGCATTTTCATCGCCACTGGATATACGACGCACTGCGGTCGGGATTCGATCACACGACCTTCAGGGCAGCAGCGGAGTACCATAACCACTATAGACCGACCTGATTTATACAGTAATGGATATTCTTGAAGCTGTGTATACGTTCAAACCAAGGAACAGTGCTAGTGCAGCCGGCGTTTTCCATTGAAAATTTGTCTTATTTGTAGTCGGATACTGCACGGACAATTTCAAGAAGTTTCAAGCTCGCAGTGGTTCACCCATCTATCATAAATGCAGCTACAGTTACAATTATCATACCGTCAAAAAAGAAGGGAGGTGGTGATTAGGCTAAGTGAAGTAGCTAGCATACTCACCAGTGACGACGATTTTTCCCGCTGTGTCGCTGAGACGTGTTTGTCCAGTGAAATCATTGCGCACCTGGCACCGATAAGTGAAGAACGCTTCCGAGGCCGTCGCTCCGAGGCCTCGTGCCACCAATTCACCAGTCGGCAGCATAGCATAGCGGCCTTCTGCACCTGCATTCCGATATAGTGCAGAACGGTTATGAGATATCATTGTTTGAGTCTCTCGCGACAAACTTATCCAGACCTCTACGCTGTTTTTGTCGTCTCCTTTTGTATGTGCCGCCTTTTCCCACATACGAAGTCGAGTGTGTCTATGCAAGTAATACAGCGTTTACCGCAGCGTCTTTCGTATTATAGCCATGCTGTTGATACATCCAGAGCACGGAGCTTTTGAAGGCGTTTTGTTGTGCGCAGAACAGCAAGAAATTCATGCATACCTTCATGCATACATTTTTTACTGACAAAAAAAAAAACTTTGGCCTTGCGTTTTTCTGCTGCAATGCGTTGCTTGGGGCCAGTTAGTCATGACACGACACCTCGTTTGCTGCAGCATGCGACAGATAGTTAATTACAGGCCCCTCATTATCAATCAGTTTAAATTTCGGTTTGAGAGAGTTCCGAAAACTGGGTGCAATTGTCGCCACCTAGCGTGTGCAGCTCTTGACCACGTCAGCACACAGAACTGTGACGCACTTCCACACGGTCCGCATCAAGAAATACTTTCGAATAGGAAACGGGACAGCAATGTCGCCAAACACAAAACTTTTTAAGCGTGCGCCACGGCCACGCACTCGCATCCAGCCGCCGAGAAATATAGTCTTCGGGAACTAACGCGGCAAAAAGAAAATGGCGGATATGACGTCACCATAACTTGTTTTGCTGATCGCAGCGTGGTGACGTGTCCTCGGGGTCCCCTCCGAGGGTGTCTATAGCGCTATGGAGATGGTCGCTCACGCAAAATTCGAAATAATTTAAAATACCTCTCAAGCTATATTCGCTGTTGAAATCTTGCAGATGATATACGAATGTTCACGAGAATCGGCCCCGCAGGCTATCTCGGCCCCCCGAAATTTTGTGTCAGTGCCCCTTTAAGGCAAAGGCCTCATATGTTTCCCTTAACCGCCTCTTGAGCGAAACATGGCAGGCGAATGAAGTGCGCGGTACAAAAACCCACGCAGTAAAACTCACTGACGGTGCCACTTCATGACGTCATTATCTCCTTATAAGGGATTCTACTAAACTGCACTTGAAACTTTCCTAAACTCTAGAGGGAATATAAGCTGTAATTTGCTATTACCTTTAGTAAAATGTCATTTCATCTTCACGTTATTCTGCCCGATGCTGAGTTTCACTTTGGGCTAAAAAGGTTTACCTTAATAAAAATTTACACGAATTAGAAATGTTATGTTATTTAATCTGTGCTACATTATATGGTCCGCTGTATTTTCGTTGCAATAACAGATTGAATTCTACACGCGTTTTACACCAGTAGGCATCTTGCTTCGGCTTCTCAACCATACTGATCGTGTCTCCGAAGCCCACAAGATCATTGACGTGCAAAAGCCGACAGAATATATATATATATATATATATATATATATATATATATATATATATATATATATATATATATATATATATATATATATATATATATATATATATATATATACTCGGAAACACGTGCGTGATCACAGCTGTACAGATCCCAAATGAGCTTGCACGAAGAAATCTCGGCTGTCTTTTTTTTTTTTTTTTTTTTCTTCAAGCTTCACTCTGCTCAACAATCGTTTTACCGAGCCGCCGTTTTTTTTTCCCTTCGTGGAAACCCTCCGCATTAAACGGCCAGTCAATACCAGCCGTGGCCGGCGTTCTTTAACATACTACGGCTGGCTTCGAAACCCCGAAAGATTTGGACGGCTGTAAAACAAATCGCTCCTTCTACATGGAAGCATTTCGTATAGGGCAGAAAACATTTTCCCGTAGTACATCGGTAGCATTGAAAACCCGTATAAATATTTGCGATGGCTATAAGTAGATGTCCTTTTACACGGTGGCCGCTTTTTTTTAATGATTATCTCTGTGTGAAAGCAGTTCGCGGCCCCACTGTATATATATTTGCATTACAATTCGTCTAAAAACTTCTATACATTCCTTACATTATTTGGCATGGCTGTCCATTAGGCCTCCTTATATTGAGTCAAAACACTGAAAACGAGCCCTTAACTATTCACTTCTTTCCCTTATATATATATATATATATATATATATATATATTATATATATATATATATATATATATATATATATATATATATATATATATATATATATTCGAATAACGCGTTCGATGCTCGAACGCGTTATATCGAATGCGTTATTCGAAGGTCGTAGGTTCGATTCCTGCTCAAGGCTGGTTATTTTTTCATCCACTTCTCTTTCTTCTTATTTACATTCCATTGGTTCTAATAACTTTCCCTGTACATTCCTTGGCATTACTGTCTGTTAGATCTCATTAATATTGTGTCAAAACAAGGAAAAACCAGCCCTTAGGTATACACTTCTTCCCCACACACACACACACACATATATATATATATATATATATATATATATATATATATATATATATATATATATATATATATATATATATATATATATATATATTACATATATATATCTGCGAAATTCTCATGTTCTTCAATTTGATGGCCTGGCAGACCCGTGAATACAGAACATCGGGAATACCAACCATACTTCTCTCGTTCCGTTTTTTTTATTTCTCGACAATTTTCGTACTTATTTCCATCTTTAGCCTGGCGCTGGACCAACGTTTTCTTCTCTTTGATATGCAATATTTCATGCACCTTGCGCCTCTCCCAACAATCATTTCTTAACCTTCTTATTCTTGCAGTTTGGTCTAGGAAAAATTTAAATTTCAAGCTAGTTTTCAAGAATAACAGTTAACATTAATTTCGAATAAAAATATATATTTTGAACTGTCTGTCGCTCCCTGTTATAGTCTCTCTTGTATGCTGTAGTGCTTGAGATCAATCAATGATAACTAGATAGTCATATTTTTTAACCAAGTCTGATAGTTCTACCACATGGGCGTCTATAAATTGGCCCCATTGGCACAACATAGTATAAAATTGATCATTGATTCTGCACTTTGACATATATTCTACGGGCTTCCATTAAAGCTTCAGTACTAAAGCGCATATATGGTACCACGGGTCTTGAAGGTCATGCGAAAAGAAAGTTAACTGGAGCGCCGCTAGGCGGCGAATAGTGTGTCCCAAAGAGAAACGCTAGCGAGGAACCCGGTTGCAGCACACGCCTCATACATGACACTTGCTTCAGTGGTGTCAACGTGGTGTCAATACGTTGTCGCTGCAACATCCTAGCGATATTAGCATTAAGAGGCTAGCGCCATGAGTTCAAGTTCATCGGGACCTCATATGCGGATTTTTGTTGCGAACCATTCCTTCGCAACTTCGTAAAAGTCTTTGTGTTAAAAGCTCATGACTTTGTAGCAACGGTTGGGGCAACACACACTGGTGCTGCACTTTTGATTAAATATACTGTGGGCGTTTGTTACTTACATCGTTCTCATCCCTGCATGATCATAATCACCATCATCCGCTAGCCTCTTCCTCATGGCCACTCTGGGTGACCTCATCCGGGACATTATACGCGAAGAATTGCGGTCTATGGGCTTCACACCTCCTACATCGCGTCCTACACAGTCTTCGGGAGTGCCCTTGCGTGACATCGTCAGGGAGGAACTTACATCGCTGACCGGCTCTGCGCCCGTACAGCCCCCTGCTTCACGCCCTATACCCAACTACCCTCAAGTTGCCGCCGTGCCTCCCAGCGACGTACACGCAACATTGCCGCTGCCAACCTACGCGTCGGTTGCACCTTCCAGCACCTCCACCACGTATGAAGTCTTGGTAGTCTTATGGCTAACCTCCCTGTCCTTCCTCATTTATTCCTCCTCCTCCTTGGTAGGCTTGGTTGCAACAGCGTTTAATTGAGGAAAGACCTCGCAAAACGAACGGGAAGAGCCAGTACACAGACGATGATTTTTTTTTCGCGCACATTGCTCTACACAGACGCCGTTAGCAAACAACATTGGGAAAAAAAGAGGTGTTACAACGTAGGAATTTCTGTACGTAACCCCAGGAAGACCATAACGATACAACACTGCACAGAAGGCCACCACTCTAGAGTGGATTACACGAACAACCGAACCGAAAGTGTCTCCTGTTTTCTGTCCAGCTCAGCCAGAAGCTGAGCTGTACAAGAAACGTAAGCAGCCATCAAGGATACATGGAGGAGGAGGAGGCTGTTTCGAAACATCTAGAACGGCTTTCCTCATTGCAAAAGAGAACGCCAAGAGGCCGTCGTCGTGTTTTGCAGACATCCAGAAGAGACCACCGGCAAAAGCTCCCGTGCTCTTAATCGATTGCGCTCCTTCTCTCCCATTTTCTCTTTTAAATTTATTTTCATCACCCCGTTCCCTACATCCCTATATTTCCGCCGCACTTCGAACCTCTCGCTCCTTTGTGAGTTGCGTCTATTTTTCATTTTCCTTCGGACGAGAACAGAGATTTGCTCTTGTTTACAAAGTCTCGCAAGAAGAGAAACCGTGCGCACCTTTTCCTAAAACAAGTCTTCGCTTCGTCGAACACATATAAGTGAGACAAGCGAGAGCCTCCAGGCTTGAAAGTTTTATTATTTCTAGCGTGCGGGGTTGAAAAGCACCACGACGCTGTCGATACACCTGAAAACTGTTTTGCTATAGAAAACAAATAATAATTTTATGCCTTCACTACGAAATCGCGCAAATACAACGAATGCTTCCTTGCGCTGATCTGTCGAATGCATTCGCTATACAGCAAACGCCAGTTTCCAGTGTAAACACGAGTCGGCAATTTTATTAATTTATTGCCCTTTTCCGTTTTTCTTCTCCTTTTTTTAAGTTTTATTGTCGCTACGCAGGGCTTCGGTTGCGACGAATACGAAATGTTTCCTCCTGTCACATTAAAGCATTTGTCTGGTCGCGAATTTTTTCCACGAATCATAAAGATTATCTTCAAGTATTTTATAAATATTGATGATTCCATACGTGCCAGTGCATGGAGTTGAAGAAGACAAAGCAG